AAAAAACCAGATGAATTTAATCTGTACGATGAAACAAATGTCACCATTGTATATATATATATATATATAGGAACTTATTTTTTTTTTCAAGATAAAATTACTTCTTTAAAGATTCTTTATATTTATTGCTTTCATTCTAAAATTCATTAAATGATTGCTAATATGCTAAACCTTTATTTTTTAGAAAAAATGTCCCGAGTATGTACTCGGGCAAACTATGTTGGAGAATGCTGGCGAGGACGGCCTCATGAGTTTTGCGCTGGTAGAATGTGGACGAGTGCAGTTGTCACTGGCTAACGAAGCCGTGGAACATGAGGCTAAAGTCGAACAATATGTGGCTACTCCGCTGCAACATATTTTAGACACTGATGTACCAAATATATTGAAGCATAAGAGAAATCTGCACCGTCTTACTATGGATATGGACAGTGCCAGAACGAGATATTTTCAAGCAGTTAAACTTAGTCATAGTAAACTTAGTACTGGTAATGATTTATTTTCTTCCTTGTTTTATTTGATGTATTATATTATATACTGTTATATTATGAAATTTTTTTTATTTATTCTACATATGCAAAGCGGTTTATAAAGATTTTGAAATGCTAGAAAAATTATTGCTTTAAAAAATAATTATTTAAAATAGCTAAGGTTTATGTTATATTTTATATAGGCCCAGGAGCAACAAAGATAGAAAACTTGAGGGAAGAATTAGAAGATGCCGAATCGAAAGTTGAGCAATGCCGAGATCAGTTGGCAGCAGAGATGTTCCAGCTCATGTCACGTGAGACTGAATTAGCTCAGACGATTATTCAGTATGTAAAACTTCAACGAGCATATCATGAAAGTGCATTGCATTGTCTTGAAGATCTTATACCTGGATTGGAATGCTATATTAGTAAGTTAAATTATAAAAATGTTTTTATAATAGTAAAATCATTGATACAACTCATAAAATAAAAGCAAAAGACGCTTATACTACAATTACAATTACAGATGACAATGAAATGAAACCTGTTTATGGATATCCTCTTGAAGAACATCTTAGAGT